AGAATTTAACGTGCATAAGTTAATAAATATGTATGCATAAATTGGCTATATTATCAGAAAATAATGTAATTTAATTTAACGTAAGTAAAAGTCTGCAGTGAAAAGTTCAGTGAATTTAACTTTAGAGTCTTGAAAATAAAAATGGAACTCACTGCGATTGAGATGTTTCTCCGATGATCCCCCGCAGAAGGCGGAGCACTTCTTCATTTTTGAGCAATTCCTGTAATTCTTTGATTAATGACACTAATCGGTGAGCAAGTTTAGGCGTCGAATTTGATGTTGCTCGAGGGCTCCTTCTGCTGGGGCGGGTCTCGCACCCAGTATAGTTGGCTGTGTGGCTTTTGTAACAATTACAGCATTTTGGAGGTGTTGTTTTGTCTTTGTTGCATTCATGTGACCTGTGGTTTCCAGCACATTTTACACACCTTGCAGGTGCATTGCAGTGGCTTTGCGTATGTCCATAATTTTGGCAGTTGTAACATTGTATAGGTCCTAGACCTCCTCGAAATCGTTCGATTTTGATCGGGATCTGCTGTATGTTGTTGACTTCGAATACTCTATGGTGATTCGCCGTTGATGTTAGGATTATGAGAAAAAGTGGAAGGAGCCGATAGGCCTCTCCCATTCTCTTCTTAAACTGCACTATTTTAAAGGTTTCAATATTGTTTTTCTGTAATTCTGTATTGATGGCATCTGTATCAAAGTCCACAGGCAGGCCCCGGACCAAAACCTTAATAAATCTGGCTTGCAGTGTTATTTCAGGTTTGCTGGGCGGATCCCGTACTTTGTCGGTATCCTCCTTAGGTTTTGTTGTCGGCAAGATAGTGACGTCATCTGTTGAATTATGTTGGCTAGAAGAAGGACAGCTGTTTGCAGATATGAGTGTAGAATTATCTTCAATTGTTTTGATTGCATTTTGCTTTTTCTTCTTCTTTTTTCTTTTCTTTGCAGGTGGTTCTGTGCTATTGTTAATATTGATGTCCGTGTCTGTTTCTGTATTCGGTGTTGTATTCAGGTTTTCATCTTTATTTTCCATGGTTATGTCTTCAGTGCTTGGATTAATTTCAGTCATTATTGATTCGAGTTGAATGGAGTTTTTATTCATCTCCTTGTTTTCTTCCGCTTGAAAGTTTTTCCTCTTCCACCTGACGTGATAAGCTGCATTTGTCAGTTTTAGGAAGTAGGAGTATTCATAGTCTCCAGAGTAACTTGATCTTATTTGAATGAGCAGTTTGCTAAGTAATTTATCTAAACGAATCAGCTCCTCTGTATCAAACTGAGTGTAAAACTCTACGAGATCGTCAATATGTTCATGTTCAACTGGTGGAAAGTATTTTTTTGATATCCCACAGATAGCAATGATTTCTTCTAATGACGTGGATTCTTTGCAATGCGACGGTGAATTACGACCAGAGAATGAGACCTTTCCACCACGAGCTGTTTTATGATACGGCATGACTTGAAAAAACAAAATGGCGGGCTCAAAATCCAGACATCAAAATGGCTAGTTGACAGTATTATCTCTCCCTACTCCAGAATCTGACGAGATCAAAATCAGTATCACTCACCTTGTAAAGTTCAGGATAATCAGCATCAATTCAACATAACCGGCATCACAAGGGAGAAAAGGACATCAGTAGAGCATCACCTTTGAATGCCACGCGTCAGGCAGGAGTCAGAATGATGAATTGGACAAGTGTGGATCAGGATATCTTAAAACGACCGTAACTTCACGTGCACAAGCATCACCGTCTCATCCGAAGTGAGGATCGAATCCCATTCGTGTAAAACGATTCAAGGTTCAACTCATGAAGGTCTGTCACCTCCTTAAAGCCACGACACTATTACATATTAATATATATGCTTATTTTTTTTCAAAAATAGTAGTGGTCAAAAAGATAACAAATTAAGTTTATAAATGCAAGGAATATATAAAAAGCATACATTTTACTACCACTTAAAACACAGAAATAAAATTTTACGCCAAATGCGTGAAAGTTGGCAGGTGTGTGACTGCATAGCTGCCAATTCGACAAGTCTTATATTTATATTTAAAACGGTAGTGATGAAATTTATGTTTCTCTATTTAATTATTGGTTTTATAAATAAAGTGTAAAACATTTTTGACTACCACTTCGTTAAAATTAATTATATATTTAATATATCTGATTAATTATGTATGATAAGGGATAGTCGCAATCTGGAAATTGTAACCATAATCATTAAGGAAAGTAAATAAAAGTTTATGACGACGTAAGTTAAACGAGTTAAAAAGTAATTTTTAACTAGTACTAATGCCACGCTAACTTTACATGGTTTGTTTGAGTGCCTGTATTCTGTGCTAGGCACTCTAGGTTTGCCCGTCTGGCCAAACTACTAGCTAAATTTGCAAATACTACGCAGATTTTGCTAGTTTTTTTAAAGGGTTTAGCATGACAAAGCTGTTCGACTTGACTTGATTAGCCCTTGGGCAACTAAGACTTTAGGAGGTGATTGAGTAATTGGCGGCTTCAGGAACAACTAAGGAACTAGTGTAAGCTTGTGAATGTTATACTCCCGAGTCGAGGATCATCGTAATAGTCATTTCCTCGCCTCAGAAGCAGAGATGCCAACTGCTCCGGACATGCCAAAATAATTTAAAAAATGGTAATTATCATCAATTTAAATTTTGCAACTACTTGACTTATTTTGCATACTTTTTAACAGGATGAGCATGACTTAATTTTTACATGAGGAGAATTATATAAGCCTTCGAATTGTTTAAAAATAGTGGTGGATTAAAACCAAATAAATTGATTTTATTAAACCAAAAATCACAATTAATAAACTACCACTCGAAAATATTTATTTTCTGTCCGAAGCAAGTTGGCATCTCTGCAGAAGTAGACGTAGCTGAAAAAAAGTGGCGAATTATATAATAGCCTACGAATTGTTTAGAAATAGTGGTGAGTAAAAATCTACTAAATTAGATTTATTAAACCAAGAATCACAATTAATGAACTACCACTTGAAAATATTTATTCGCTGTCCAGAGCAAGTTGGCATCTCTGTGCATATAAATAAAACTATTTTTGTGTGTTCTATATTGCAATAATTTCTTCAAACCATTTTAGTAACGATAAAAATATTGAAAAAATAAAAAAATTTACTCGAATTATGTGTTCCTAATAATCTTGACTTCGCCGGTCACCGGTGACCTCCGTGGAGCTACGAACAAACTTAGTGCCGGTCACCGGTGACCCCATGGCATTCAACGTGTTAATAATTATTTGTTATTACTTAATTTAATAATGGACAAAAGAATTTTAAATATGAGCCAAACATATTTTATACCATATTAATCTTCATATTTTTATATTGTGTTTCAATTGTTTTTTCTTAGTAAAAGCCGAGAAAAATTAAAAATTTATTATCTTTGAAAAATAATCTTGCGACAATGAAAAAAATATATATAAATGAAGCGATTAATGCCTAAATGTGGTACACTTACAAGAAACTTAGCTTACGCAAGCGTAGCGTAAATATCATTCTTAATTTTTTTCTTACTTTGATTCGATATCATTTTAATTTTATATTATGCTATACGTTTCTTGTTAAGTCGTTTGTTACACTTAATTTAAGGAGATTTGAATGAAATATTATATTTAAGGAATTAAAAAAAATCGAAATTTTTACTCATTTTTATGTAAATTAAATTTCATAAAAAATATATCCAATTCAATTTTATTTCTTAATCCGTTTATTATTATTACCAACAGCTTTTATCTTCAACTATATATCACCCTTAACATCAACACCCTATGTGCGCAAAAATATCTTTAAAAACTATAAAATTATGCATCCATATTACAGGGTTCATACGCTTCTGAAAAAACTTAAAGGTCGTAGTAACACTAATATTTTTTTTTAATTTTATTATATTTGTAGCTACCAGATAATTTTATTTTCTATAAGTAAGTTTGTATAGATCTGAAGTTGGCAGAAATAAAATTGTATTCCGATAGTGGTAGCTGATATTAAGAAATGTTCAGTTTTATTATAAGAAAATTGACACCAGTTATTAATCTTTTCCTGGTGCCTACAAACCCTATATTAGCTTATGTAACATTCAAAATGAAGATGCATGATCAAATTAGAGTGCAAAAATTACTAGATGTCTTAAAATTAATGATTATTTAGCTTTTATGTCAAAATTATAAAATTCGTCTACGCTTGCCCCTATTTCCTCTTTGTGTTAATTTATTTTTTTTTTTTTTTTTTTTTTACAGTTGATTACCAGGATGAGTTGAGAAAAGCTGCCTTGAAAGATGCCCCTTTAAAACAGAAATTTTACGAAATATTAAAAACTTCAGAACCTGGTAGTTCTTGTTATAATTTCAGTTTTTTGTAGATACTATGTAGCATACAACACTGTTATTTAAGTATATAGAGTCAAATTCTAAGGTACCAGTCTGAATTTGCAAATACTGAAATCTAACCGACTGGAGTAGGGCAATAAAATAATTTTTAAAAAAAATGTTTAAAAAAAAAGTTTTTTATGGTTCTGCACGCAAAAGTAAGAAAATGTAATCAAACATTGAAAGCAAATGTATAAGAATCGAGTGTATATAATTTCGTAGATTTTTCAGGTAAATGTCGATTTTCAGTTTTATATAAAGTTTATCTTAACACGTTCATGCCGGGGTGACCCACCGGTGGGTCACGCTAGATCGTCTCATCTTGGCAGCGCACCGGAGTAAAAACTGGAAACAAATAAATTTCACTTTTTAGTTTTTTTCCGGAAATAATAAAAATCCATAACTACCAATTGTTTTTAACGGATGCAATTTTTATATTGAATTGCTTCTTCACCGTGATAAATTTCCTTACAGTGAATTGCTTATTGTTGAGAATAGATTAACTCCTCCCGAATATTACCTAATATTGAAATAGTTCTTCTACCAGTATTTTCTCTTTTCCGTCCTGCTTTTAGGCACAACACCCGGCGTGATCGTGTTAAAATGAGATGCAAGTAAACATTTTTTTTAACCCTTTGACATCATTTGACGAGTGAGACTCGTCATGCTTTTATTTTGAATAAGGGAACAATGGTGGCAAAAGTATGTTGCTATGCTTTGATAACTGCCCAATCGTTAAAATAAAAATGGTAGAAAGTATTAAAAATTTTATTTGCTAACTAATCGACAAAAAAAAATTTTTATAAGCTTACTATCAGCTTTTAATTTGGCTGTTTTTCCTTAGACTGGTATTTAAATAAATCGAATTCCAAAGGGTTAAAGAAAGCATATGAAAAGCCACCAACTTTAGCTTATGCAATTATTGTTATTCGAAATGTATTAAAAAATTGTTTTAATTTTTTTTCTACCTTATTTTATACTTTTTTGTCTAAGAAATTCATAAAAAAATTTTGTGCCTTATCTTTTCCAACCTTTTTTTTTTTTTAACTTAATAAATTTCGTACCAACAGTAAACCTCGATTTGAGGTCAGATATATTTGTATTGCATATAACTAGCGAAAAACGCTCATAAATCTGTTTATCTGTATAATTTTTTATTCTAATTTAAGTAATTGATACTAATCATTTAAATTATCAATGAAATATTCCATAGATAGACCACAATTACGAATTCAGTCAAAATCACAGATACACGGTAACACTGGTGCATGGCGCAATTTTATTTACGACCTTAGCACGACGCATTGCCCAACTGAACTATTTGACCATGCATGAAAGAAGTTGATGTAAATATAAAATAATGCCTACGTTGGAATATCAATCTGAAACAAATATTGTACAAAAATATTAGCTTGAAAATGGCTATACTAGCCTTGTAGTTGGAAATTGCTCGTATTGTTTTACACATTTATTAAAAATTGATGGAAAATTTTTTAAAAAAGACTGCATTGTTAAAAAATAAATAAAGATTTAAAAGAAAGGTTTTTCTTTTTAACCTCTTCAAGACCAATCAGGATAAGAAGAAAAATCTGTTAAACAAACTGTAATTTAGCCATTTATTTGTGGGCTGGGTAATAAAAGTTTGACTCTTTTAATTCTCATCTACTTAATTTAAAATAATAAATTATTCAGTTACACATTGAACTAACATTTGCTAGATATGTAAAAATTAAAGTGCAAGAAAAAAATAAGTTTGTCAAATTGGACATGACCACATTTAAGCTACCACTTTTTTTCCGTCCTGATTCTGTGCGATTTCATTTATGACTATGAAGTTAATACAAATGCAAATTTTTATATCATAGTTCCCAATGAACTGTTGGTGGAGGTGGCATCTCAAAGACTTCTTAAAGAAGATTGCCTAGAAAGAGGTTGGGTGATGTTCAACTTCCCTGACACAAAGAAACAGGCTGATCTTCTGATACAATCACTGCAGGGATTTCAAGCAAATAGGTGCGCAGCTTAACATTTTAAACATCATTGTGAATAGTTCAAAAATGATATTTGAAATTACATCACTTTTTAAAATAAAATTTAAAATATTTTTTATCAATTTTCAAAGTCGTCAATATGTAAATAAATTAACCGTAAAATAATTCAAAAAAACATCATTGCAATTTTTTTTATTTAATTTTTTAACCGTCATTGAACAGCCGACGCAATTTTTGTGGGCTACTATCGCCATCTACCCTTTCAACCAAATAATAATAATAATATATATGACAAGCCAGTATTATTAAACTGTGATGACTCAGGGAATAGAGCGTTCACCTTCCAATGAGGTGAACCGGGTTCGAATCCCAGCGATGACAGGTCGATACGAATTCCACATCCGGCTTTCACCTACAACAGTGCTGACATAACAATAGTAGACGGATCATGGGTGAGAGTCCCCTTGCCATCAGGCTAACCGTTGGCGGTTTCTCTCTCCGTGTAACACAAATACGGGTTAGTTCCATCAAGCAGTCCTCCAAGAAGGTAATTTTCTCCCAATACTTTAACCAGAAGTTTCCTTGTCTCTTGGGTTCTAAATTACAAGGCTACGGAGTTGAACATTAGTAGTCTTAAACACAAAAAATTGGGTCGACTGTTCAACGACGGTTATGAAATAAAAAATAAAAAGAAGTACCGTCTTAGTGCTTTCGGATGACCAATAAGGAGAATCCTGTAATAGCCAATAAGTGTAGCTCAAGTGCGACGGTTAAACAAAGACCAAAACTTAACCAAAATAGTAATTTTTCATACTTTTTTTTTAATACTTCTTGTTTACTTTTTCTACAGAGCAATATTTCTTGGGGTGACTTTATGGAATTGCATGGAGCGAGTCGAGCCCCGGAGATTAGATCCCTTTACAGGTCAGATGTATCATTTAAATCAGCGACCCTGCTTCCAGAGAGTGGCCATGAGTCGCCTGATTCAGTTGCCTCAAGATTCTGCGGAATCAGTGAAGGCAGAACACGAGATCTACTCTCGAAATGTTACTGAACTCAGAAGTTTCTTCAGCACCTGTTTGCCCGAAGATATTGTGACCGAAGTGGACGCAAACCCTTCCATTGAAGATGTGTTTGAATCGGTGCAGGGAGCTATTTTGAAGTCAACGAAAATCCAGATTCCATTTTAAGCCAAAAGTTTCGGTTCAAATTTCTATAATGCACTCTAAATAACATTATTTTCTTTCATTTTTTTTCTTCTAACTTTTGTAAGCTGGGAAATATTGTTATAGTATAATCCAATTTACTGTTAAAAAGTAAATAAAGTTCCTTTAATTTGCATATTCCTTAAACTCGTCCCCCTTTTGTATGTAACTGTAAATATTAATTAATATTTATTTTCCTATTGTACTTTAATTTCACCTTTTTCATGTATTTTTTTTATTACTTGTAATTTTGTTATTACCTAATAATGGCAAAGTGCCATTTTTTTTCTCTCAAGAACTCTATTTTGCTCTCCAAACTTTATTTTTGTCATGTATGTTTCTTAGTCTAATTTCAAGATGAATGGGAAAAGGGCCGTAAGGCCTCAGGCGCCCAGTTCCACTACAACGAACGATGATAGCTGAAAGTCATAGCAATTTCTTACCTGCTGACTTTTAATCTTTCTGAGAAAGAATTTTCTAAGTGGTATAAAAGCAATTAGCCTAAAGATTAAAAATTGGATAGGTGGCGCTAGCGTTGGTCAACTGTTAAGGCAGCCAAAGCCTGCAAGTGGCTGTTGCGCTGTCAAAGAGGAGGAAGTAAGACAATTACGACTTTACTCCATGTATTTAAATTTTGGCTAGGTTGAAATTCGCTATCGTAGAGACTATTATGCTTTTATACACACTGCTTGAAACAACTAAAGAATACTGAGGATGTGGGTTGATCTTGTGCCTGGAGAATTGTTTGAATAATTGATACGTAATCGACAGGCGTAGTAGTCAATATGAGATAAAAATGACATTTGTTTAACAAGAAAATGCTCTTTAATGAGCATTTGGGAACAAAAGAAAAAAACACAATCTGTGCATTTGAGAAAAACAAATAAAAAAAAAGCGTTTCCTTTAAAGAAAATCGATTTTAGTGGGAGATATGGACTCCCCGGACGGCCAGCAACGTTGAACACTTTTGAAGCATCCAGTCAATGAGGTTATTAATGAGGAGCTGGGGTATTCTGTCCCACTCCTCCGGAAGACCTCTTTCCAGTTCTTTTAGAGTTTGTGGGGGTAGTAGGCGTCCAGCAATTTATCTACCTAGAATGTCCCAAACATGCTCGATTGGGTTCATATCTGGAGAACACCTTGGCCAAACCATTCGTATGATTCCTACCTCTAAAAGGAAATCATTCACCAAATAAACACGATGTGGCCTTCAATTATTATCCATTAACAAGAAGTCATCTCTAATTGCTGAGGCTTAAGGGACTGCAATAGGTCTCAGGATCTCATTCCCATATCGGCGTCCGGCAGAGCTCCATTTCGAATGATATGAAGATCGGTGTGCCCATCAATGGAGATGCCAGCATAGACCATCACTCCCCCCCCCCCACTTCCAAATCTTACACTTTTGTGCGCGAAAGCGATTGTTTCTAGTGCCACATTCCCACGTTTCGTAGGTAGCCACGCTTCGGGCTTTGTTTAATCTATTTAGTATCTCGTCATCAGATTGTCCTTTGTTATTAACTATACTTCCAAGGTAAGTAAAACTGCTTTCTACTCAACTTAGTTCGAAACATGAATATTGTAGCTACACTTTGATTAAAGCGATAGTTAGGATTTGATACCATCATTCATAGTATGTAATGCATTGAGGAAATACAAATGGAGCAATTAAAATGCTTCATTCATTAAAAGGGAGAAAAACTGCCTCTATACTTACTGCATAATTATTCCGTAAAAAATTTGAGCATTTCTCATTTTGGTGGTAACATGTGTATATTTCAAAAATTAAATTATGTTCTCCAAATTCATAAAATCGTACATAATTTAAATTCAAGCTTAAATTTCATTATAAAAACTACTTTACAAACTTGCAAAATTTAATTTTTAAAAAAATATATTCATGAATATATAGCGAAACATTCAGACATTTTTTATAGGTAGCACATTAATTCTTCCCTTTTTTTTCTTTTCTACTAAATCAAACAAGGCATTCTTGTTCATATTTTATATCGCCGTAACTTTTTACTCTAGAAAAACAATAAAAAAACATGAATTATAATTTTTTTATATTCAATTAAAAACGTCTCGTGCAAGAAATCACTTATGACGCTTTCTCCAATTTGCATACATTTATTTTTTATGTGGAATTAATTTATTTTTAAAGTGCTACTTAAAAGTAATTTTCAGCCTTATTTATGAAATAATTAAAAAAAAGTATGGGAAGTTCCTCTTAATAAGTTAAATAATTTTAAATGTGTGTAATAGTAGCTAATTTACAAAAAACTTCACCTTTTTTCAAACAGAATTATTGATTGCGTTCCTTTCGCAAATCAGTTTTTCCGCCAAACAACGAGTTCCCAATTACTTCTCTTCAGTTCGTAATTTTGTGCACCGGTTCGGGTGTAATTCCTTATTTGAGTTAGTTATAACAAGGTACTTAAATTCTCCCAATCAAATAAGAAAAAAACAGACGAAAAAAACTCAAGGAAAAACTAAATTAAATGCAAGAGTGTGTGGGTCAGGCTTAAGCGTAAGAATCGGTCTTTGAAATGTTAATCGCCATAGCGAAGGAATTTAATTCGATTTACGCAAACGAGAAACGGAGGGGTAATTTTTTTCTCATTTTTTGTGGCAAGACCGAAAAAAAAACTTGCTTCTTTCTCATTATGATTCTTTCGCATTATGAAGCGATATGAGTTTAGAAAAAAAGAACTAATTTTTTCTATTATTTCATAACGAGTGCAAGAATTAAAAACATTATCATGATAGTTAGATACGCAAATCAGATTCCTTTGAAAGGAAGAAAAAAACCAAAAGCAAGTTGATTATATAAGGTTTTGTAGGGTTTTAAAACGTGAATTGAAGAAACTTATTAAAAACAAATGAATTTTTTTCTTCATCTTGAATAAATTCAACGCAGTTTGACGCGAGGAATTTCATTTAATTTTCCTAAAAAAGGTAGAACTACACTTTTATTTGATTGCGGGGTGAAAAATTATAAAACTGACTTTTTAATCAATTCGTTAGGAAATTTCACATTTTTAAGTTAGATTCAGACGAAACATTCAAAAGAAATATAATCATAATTAATACACTGTCGTAAAAAACTCTTTGGCAAATAAGATTTTTGATTTTCATTTTTGATATTGTAATCTGACTTTCCTTTATTATTTATCTTTGAAAAGTTATTTTTACTCGCTGTTATTTTTTTACCATTAAAAGTTATTTTTACACCTTTGCTTTTTATCTGATTTTATTCTTAAATCAGAGAATTAATTACTGGATTTTCATTAAAATTTTAAGAAAAATTGCAAATGCCAGATTTTAGCAGATTTTGTGATTGAAATTATTAATCTAAGACTTTCAATACTAATGGTTATACTGTTTGAGCGATTACTTGTGGGATGTTTTTGTGGTGTGAGATTTACCTTACCGTAGTGGGATGTTTTTGTGGTGATCATCTCCATGTGATGCAAATAAATATTAGTTCCATCAAAAAATCCTTTTCAAAGGCTAGTTAGTATCAATGTTTGATCCAAGAATTTCTTAGTCTTATGGGTCTAGTTCAAAATTATANTAATTTTCCTAAAAAAGGTAGAACTACACTTTTATTTGATTGCGGGGTGAAAAATTATAAAACTGACTTTTTAATCAATTCGTTAGGAAATTTCACATTTTTAAGTTAGATTCAGACGAAACATTCAAAAGAAATATAATCATAATTAATACACTGTCGTAAAAAACTCTTTGGCAAATAAGATTTTTGATTTTCATTTTTGATATTGTAATCTGACTTTCCTTTATTATTTATCTTTGAAAAGTTATTTTTACTCGCTGTTATTTTTTTACCGCTAAAAGTTATTTTTACACCTTTGCTTTTTATCTGATTTTATTCTTAAATCAGAGAATTAATTACTGGATTTTCATTAAAATTTTAAGAAAAATTGCAAATGCTAGATTTTAGCAGATTTTGTGGTTGAAATTATTAATCTAAGACTTTCAATACTAATGGTTATACTGGTTGAGCGATTACTTGTAAGAATTGATAAATATTTAGCCTTTTAGCATCCTGTTCTCGTCAAACTTTGCATACAGATTTATGTATGTCTTTATTTTGCTTCCAGTAACAGCAATTTAAATATTTTTTAAAAAAATTATTTTTTAGTTAGTTTTACTAAATTTTAAAAAAAATACCTCTTACTAATTTAATTAAATTAAAATTATTTATCTTAGTTAAAATCATTTATCTAAGCCTTTTAATGATAATATTATGCTGTTTGAGCGATGACTTGTAAGAATTAATAAATATTTAGCCTTTTAACATCCTAGTCTGATCAAATTTTGCATACAAATTTATGTATGTCATTATTTTGTTTCTAGTAACAGCGATTTATTTACATGCAATGTGGCAAATTTAAATTATAATATTTTTTAATTGGTTTTACTAAATTTTAAAAAAAATACCCTTTACTAATTCAATTCAATTAAAATTATTTATCTAAGCCTTTTAATGCTAATGTTATGCAGTTTGGGCGATCACTTGCAAGAATTAATAATCATTTACCCTTTTAATATCCAGGCCAGGTCAAATTTTTCATACAAATTTATGTATGGCATTAATTTGTTTCTATTAACAGCGATTTATTGCAATGTGACAAATTTGAATAAAAATATTTTTTAGTCAGCCAATTTTTTTTTAAAATACCTATTACTATCTTTAAGAATATAAAGCTAATTAGTCTTTTTCAAATAAAATTTTTTATTATTATTATTATTACATCGAGCCTTTTAATATTTGCGTAATAATCACCTTCCGAAATGGTAAGACCTATATTTATTTCCAAATAAACCCACGAGTAATAATAGACTATTAAAATATAATAGACTACTAGTAATTATAGACTACGAGTAATAAAAGAGTGTTAAAAAGCTTTTGCTAACGTTATATGTTAAATGATAAAAATTAAAAATCTTAACTTTTTTGA